GCCACTCGGAAGCTCTCGGGTACTGTTGAAATGATCCCATCTGCTCAGCCTTCTCCCGCAGCTCGAAAGCGCCGGGCCTGGGGAATCATGGACTCACCGGTAAGCGGACAAATCCCTTGGGCCCGAGCGTCTGCCGGGCAAACTTCTCGAAGCGGTCACCGCTCCAGAGTGTGCCACTCGACGGGGGCGGCCTTCGTGCGAAGCGAAGCAGTCCACACCGTCTTGCGAAGCTTCATCACTTTTGCCATGTCCCCTCCCATCTGCGCACCTCCACACCGCTGGCGGTCGATCGCGTCGATCACCTGCACAGAACGCGGGACGGACGAATGTAACTTGACCTTCTGCTGAAGCTCCTGTTGCTGGCGCGGCAGGCTCCTGTGATTGCATCTGCAAACTGCGAAGGCAACTTAAAGTCGCGGCTGGCGTCCTTGTGAAGTCGCGACCGGGAAGTTGTTGCCCCTGACTGCAGGAATCACAGAAGACGGAAACATTGACCCCCAAGCTGATATTGCACCACAGCAACGGCGCCTTCACGGCGACCCTCCGCCTTGCAGAGCGTCCCCTGCAGGCGAAGGAACGAAGGAATGTGGAGGAGGATCCTTTGCTGGTTTCTGTGCTCCGCTCCGCTGCTCCGCTCCGGCCTCGGAGCCCAGGACGGAGGCCTCAAAGGAAAGAAGTGAAAAGCATCGCCCCGCACGCGATGCCTGCGGAGACGCGGAGGAGTGGTGGCCTCCTGTTTCTCTCGCTTCTTGGACCATCCCTGGCGATCTCCCCACCTGAGCACTGCCAACTCCTCTTCGGCGATGTCTTCTGGAGTCTTAGAGTCTCCCTCTGCCGGGGAGCTGCGTCTGCCCCTTGCGCTCAGTGGCCACAACGTGGGAGAGCCTGGCCATTTGAAGGAACTAAACCCCAACATACACGCCCTCTTCCGCCAAGCTTCTGATTCAGGTTGTACAGCAGGCCCTGCCGATCTCGCTCAAACTCGGCCTTCAGCCATCATATGCCAATATGCTTCATCATTAACCGGGTGATGGTGTGCCTGCATTTTGGCTGTCTCGTCTTCCTGCCGATTCAATCTTTCCTGAAGGTACCGAAGCTCTTGGTCCTGCCAGAGGGTGTCCCACGGTCCCACGACAGTTTTAAGCATCACGGCTTTTTGCCGAGCAATTCGCCTTGGACTTCAGCCGCTGTTCATAGCGCGCTTGAAGTTGTGCAGCACGGATACGTTCTGCGTAGTCCTGCCAGCCCCAAAGGGCTGGGTGACTGGGTGAATGTGAGAGTTGTATGAGCGTGAGGAGAAAGGCCGAGGATGAGGAGGCAGGAACCACAGGCAACATCACGCATGACTCATCCCATGCTGCACCTCCAAAGCTGCATATTGAGCGGTGTTCTTTATTCTGTTTCAATCCTAAGGACGCAAAAACCCCTTCCGCACAACCCTTCCGCCACTGCTTCCGCAGCCTTCCGCGGCTCGAAGCGTTGGCACATTTCTGAATCACTGCATGTCGTCCCTTCCGCGTGCCCTTCCGCGGACCGTTTTGCAAGCGAACCCTTACGCAAGAGCATGAACCCCACTTGACGTATCTCCCTGACATTCGGCACGCGCGGGCAACATGTATTATGAAACCGCCAACAGCTTGGTTCATAACTGGGCTTAAGGATTTCGGAATATTGTATGTCTCCTTCGACGGACGTATTCTTCTAACACAGCGGCTTACGTATTCAAACGTATGTGTTGCTTCGGCGCCCTTCCGCGGAGCAACGCCTTCCGCGTCCTTCCGCGCGCACAGTCCCAGAGCGATTTTCAGATCGAGTGAAAGCTTTGTGTCCAGCTGTAGTCTTCCATCAAGAAGCGGATACAAAAAACGCTGCTCATATGTTCATTGCAAGCGACATCAGACGGAGGATGCGCCCGCACTCAGCAGGGAGCCCCGGGCCCTACTTTATTTCCAGGGCGGGATACGGTCACTTCCTGCAACAGCTCCGTGCATGACATCGTGAATACCTCGCCGGTGTGTTCATGAAGTTTCGGAGCATTAACGGCGAGGGAACCTCTTCCATGGCGTCGATGTTATCCGGAACCGTTTCTATGAATCAAACATGAATTCACAGAGCTGCTCCAAAAACAGGGACTTTGATTCTGGTAGAGTCTCTTGCGCATGTGGAGAATCTGGTGATCGTGCGGGTTCAGAAGCCCTACACGGCGTAGGCAAGCGTCACTGTCGATTCCGCCAAGTCATGCAACATGTTCGAATCATCCATGGCGTTGTGAGCCAACGACCCTGCAGCCCCGGCACATTCCTTGGCTGAGGGATGCCAAGCTTGACCCACAGCTCGGAAGTATCCCTTCGTTCAACCTTCTCACTACTTGTGGTGCGTGTGCTTGCGCACCACAGGTTCAGTGTCTATGTCTGCTGGACAAGAGAGGTAGCGCTCGAGTGCTCGAATGGCGCTTGTACGTTCAACAGCCCATTCACGCACTGGAAAGGCCCGCTTCCGGACCGTACAGTTTGTGCACCGACACAGCACGAACGATTCGCACAGGGAATCGCCCAAATCCGTTTGGCAGTCTGGCTGAATGGAACTGCTGGCAGGGCCGAGACTAGTTAAGACTCGAAACGTAAAAGCAACCACGACCACGCCCCTTGCCCTGCACAGCCCTTAACACCCCTGAAGCAGAAACCAGGCGGTTCAAAGGGGTTTCCAGCTGTTTGAAGGATTAGTGTGCTTTAGAAGAACCTGAGACGTCGAACATCCAAGCAACCCAAACCGCAAAATTGAAACCACAAACCTTGTGACCCCAAAATTAAACCCTAAAATGTGCAAAGTCCTGTTTCCAAAACACTAAACATTCAGCTCTCCTTACACCAAAACCCTAAGCTGAATTCAGCACACTAATTCACCCCGAAACCTGCTTGGGTGCCTGAATCGCGCATGCTGAATTCAGCTTGGTGCTAAAATCCGCGGTGCTGGAACAAAGTGCCGTGCTTGACTCGACTCGCTGTCGCTTGAATCGCGTGTGCTGGACTGGCCGCGGCTGCGAATCATAGTCGTGGTGCTCGACTCGGGGACGGGGATTACCAAACACAGCTACCTTACTCGAATATCCGAAACCAGTGCAAACATGTGCAAACTTTCACCTCCTCGAGGAAAACAGGCACCGAATGCGCGCAAGATGCAACGTGCGAGCATCTCACTGGAGCCTCTTCCTGGCTCGGCTGGCTCGGAGCGCTTCCAAGTGGATCCCTTGGAAACCAGAATGCGTTTCAGAAAACGTTTAGATGCGGCTGGGCATTTCAATTTCAATAATCCGCCTTCTGAGTCAGGCACATCATCTCCTGGCGGTCGGAGTACGGCTGAGGTCCGCCGAACTGTCACACGAAACGTCATCAACAGCTGTAGATGCTCGTGTCTTCCGTGTTTGCCAGCCTCTACCTGCACAGGGCAAGGACCTGGCCCGAGGAGTGCTTAAGTGCGAAGATGACGTTTGAGATAACTGGGGTCATGGTTCGGACACCACTGTGACTGGCAAACTGAAAGCTCAAACCACCCCCAGCCTGGAGCCATCATGCCGGACCTCTGCAAGGAACAAGACAATGAGCCCTGAAAAGCATTCGCAGCACACCTAGGCCGGTGCATGGGTCCGCCGCCTTGCGCCTGGAGTGACATGATACGTCTACAACTTTGACTGCCATGTACGCCCGAAGTGTCTGAAGTGACATGACAATTCAACGGCACCTGGCAATGGCTCACGGGGCCCACGGCCTGCCAGGCACCATGGCCTGCACAGCGTCAGAGTAGCGTCACTAGGTCACCAGCTTCAATAAGCCGTCTCTTTGCAGCGGATTTGAAATGCGCTGCAAAGAGCCAGATGCCTCCAAAGTCTGAGAGGCAACCCACGAAGCCCATGGCTACCGGGCCACCAGGAGCGGCACACATCGGGGAATGTGCTCGCACATCTCCTTGGCTCTAGAATCTTGTAACAAACACAGACCGGGAAAGAAGAACGAAGGTAGCAGGAATTTCGAGTAGGTCTCATGGGATGGAACTCTGCAGACACCAAGGAACCCATGGCAAGTTGCCCCTCTGGCGAGCTTCCAGAGTGGGGCGCCACCCACGCGCCGACGAGAGGACCCGACGTTACCCCATGCAGGACACCTGTCAGGGAACACACGAACTAGTAACTAGACTCCAGACGAGACATGCATGAGAGGGGCAGGAAGGCCTGGAACAAATTCTGGAGCCGATGTCTTCCAATCCCACTGATCGAGGGACATCATCGGAGCAGAGAGCGAAAGCAAGCAGCAAAGCAGAGAAGCTGTGCAGTTGCAGTGGCGACTGGGTGCGATTAGTTCTGGTTTGCCTTTGGACTTTGGACTACACGCAATCTCAAATCTGGGCAGAAACTGGCTCGGGAACTACACAATTTTGCAGGAAACAGCAAAGACCTTGACATGCACACGCATGCTGATGCTCGTTGTCATGTCTGCGCATGCGTCCTTTGAGCGAAAGGCGGACGATGTGGCACGTAGTCGGCATGACTCTAGCTGCTTGCGTAACTTCTCTGCAACAACCATCAAGACTTTTGCATCGCGCATAGCATATTCCAGCAGCCAAAGTGAATTGCAGGGCAGCGACGATGACATAAAGCAAGATGCTAACAGAAACTATTCAAGTGAACCTCAACACGACATGGCCGCTAATTTGTCCTTCTCGTGAAGGCAGCCACTGGCCCTGTTGAGGGCCAGGCTTGCACAAAGACTTCTTGTAGCTTCCAAAGCCTGTTATGGCAATGCTACCATAGGCAAGCGGCTGGCGCGAAGAAAAAAAACAAGTTGGAGCGAAATCGGAGCATCCGCTTCTTTGGCAGGGCCATCTCAGCTCCGTCTTAACGCCCCGATACACTGCAAAGAACCACCTTGTTGTGGCTTCTCGCGCAGACTCCAGGGGCCAGGAGCAGCTATGCCTTCATACGACGTAGATCTTCTTTCTTCGGCTTCTCAACTGGGAGTGCTCACACTGCTGGCATCCGTTTGGAACCTCAGCGACTCCGTTCATCATCCTTTGCAGAGTTGATGCTCCGCTCAGAAGCATGCTGCTGGGGAAAGCGTCTGCTCAAGGAAGCCACCACTGCCTATGTCCGCAGTGGATGCCAGTACTGCAAAACTTTTGCATGAACCGGCCTTGTATCGCTTTCGAACTGTGTGCGAAGGCACCGATCGATAGATGGCGTGGGCCAGGAAGAAGTCGCTGCCGTTCTGACGGGGGAACATCGAACTCAGACCCTCCGAATCTTCCCCCAAATCCAAACCTTGTAGGCACTCAGATGTTCCTGCAGGAACAAGGCCTCGCGTACACACTAGAATGTCAGTCTTTTGCACGCGGCCACACCAGCGCCTCTCGCTCGGAAATCGTCGTGTTGTGATCCACCCTAACCTCGGCGCAGCGTGAATCGGAAGGCAAAGAACTGCAAAGCAGACCTGTCCAGAATGCTTGCACATATGAGGATGTCTTAGATGTTCAACGGCAGCCTTCGTTGAGAGCCTCTTCTTTGAAACCGATACAAACCACGACGGACCCTGTGTGATTATGTCGTTCTGAGGTTGCAACTGCCCAAGGGATACGCGAGCTGTTTACCTGAGCATGGTGTACAGAATAAATGTCTACTCTGTTCATTTTGCGTCGGCCGCATTGCAGCGAGTCTCTCATCTCTGTTCCATCACCTTAAGCCGCGCCGCAGACTTGATGGCCTTGAGGTCCACTGACTTGGGCCTCAAAAACACCAAAACCATCATTTCGCCCAAAGCCTCGCGAGCCTAGCAAGCCTTGGGCACCCGCGGATCATCTCGCAAAGCTCGCAGCTCATAAGTGGCCGGGTTCGAGTGGTGCTGCAAGAATTGCAGCAGCAAGCCATCTGCTAAAATTCTCACAAGGTGGTGCCTGGAGCTGCACGAAACCGAATGCCCCGAGGCTGCTACCTCCGAGCGGCAACGGTAGGGTCAGTTCTAAAGTCAGCGCTACTTAGTCGAAAATTCGGTGCTCTCATGTCTTGGAAAGCTGCATCTTAAACCCACGAAGCGGTAGTCCATGCGGTAGTCCTGTCGTTTCAATGATGTGTGCATTAACACAGGACAGGAAACTTCATCGGTACCTCGATATTGGAGATGATGAGGTCAGTAACGTCAGAGAAGTAGTGCTTCAGGCGCTTCAGCACCTGGCAACTGAACGACTCGGCCTCGGGGGGGTTCTTCGTGTCCTTAACTTCTTCTCCCGTTTGATCAGAATACCATAGACAGTCCCGACATTACACCAAAAGTGCGAGAGCGAGAGCGAGAAATGGTGGGGTGGAACCGCTGCCGCGAGCCGAGCCTCGTCCAAGGGATCCGGGATGAGCGTGGCTTGCGGCTTCGGAGCCTCGTCCTCACTAACAAGCATCAACAGCACCTTCTCCAGGCATGCTCTCATGGCGATGCTATGCCACGGTTCCTGCTCGGATGTATGTGTGTGTCGGGACCGTCCTTAAGGATGAAAGGAAATCACTTTCTAGCGTCATGTGCACGTCAATAGGCTTGTGAAGTATGATAATGTGATTGTGTAATACAGGAGCCTGAATAATTAGAATACGGTTTTGGTGCGTTATGCGTTCTTCTTGTGGAATCCAAAAATGATCTTGGTTGGTGCTTATTTCGGCCCCTGTATGAACTCTTCCGCCAACATCTAGAAGTCCTGGCCTTCTGGAGCAACTTTGAACCCCGAAGTCCCAGCTCCATGATGCGAGCTTAGGGTTTCAGGCTTGAGGTACGAGCGTGAACAGTTGGAGATGCCGAAAAATGACGTGATGTCTTTTACAGGTGTGTGTTTACAGGGGGGTGTGTGGGGGTGTCCGGGGGTGTGGTGGCTGTGAAAAGAAACAGCATTCACAAGTGCTGATATATAGAGGACACCTGGCCTGTTTATCTCCATGCAGACCGTGCGTGCTGACATGAGAGCCGTTATTACTTCGTGCCTGGAATCGAGAACCCGACAATACCGCAAATGGCCATGTCTGCGGATGTAAACCATGCTGCAGCAACGGAGGCAGCGAGCAACAAAAGTGCACATGCATGTCCAATCTGAAAACCTGCACTTACAAGCAAGAAAACCGTGGAGCTCTGGCATTACCCTAAGCCCTGCCTAAATTACGATAATTTGGCAAACCACTCTTGGCTCACCGCGCCTCGCGTGAGCTCATAAATTTACTTATTTCGGAACCGCGTCTCGCCTCGCTATTTCAGCTACTTCTGGTGCAAAGCTGATCCTGGATGAAAGTACTTACTTTCTGTAGGGTTTAGGCCTGGAGGAGTACATAAGGGATCTTTCGCGGGAAAACTCCGAAGCGAGAGCATTTGATCTTTTCCAGGTGCGTGGGAGCTTCGGAGGCCTGAAGGAGCAAGGGAGGCTTTGGCAAAAGTTCAAACACGCGCGTTTTGAGCTTAAGCCCCAAACCCAAACCCCTGCGCAACTCCTAAACCCTAAACCCTGAAAGTTAGCAGCACAAAACTGAGAACGCTGAGAATAAAAAACTTGTTATCTGTCCATCTAAAACGTCACCATGGCACCAGCATGAACACAATCTTCACGTCACAACAGACGTGTACGTCCCAACGTGGATGGAGTCAATGTTTGAGTCAGACTTGGTTTGTTTACCCAGCTACCAGACAGAAATCCACTTCCGTGAAGTCACATGAGTCAAACAAACTAGCCAATTGCCAGTAGATTGTGGGCATTCGTCGGGAATGAACATGTTAAAGGGCCTCTTGTACAAGGATCTGTAAATCACTGTTAGTCTGTAACAAAAGGAACAGAGCACCTTCAGCTAGTTTGTGATAACTAACTCGTAAACAATCATGCCTTGGCAAGAAAGGCGACATCGCCACTTTTCTATTCACTCTGGTAAAAGTGAAAAAGAGTCTGATCATCACTTGATCTGTAAAAAAACTCAACATGCAAGACGCAGCTACTGCATTTCCAAAAACAAGAAGAATGGAGATTTCAAAGCTGTGACAGCAAACAAGGCATACTCTAGTTCTAATCTGTAGACAAAATGAGAAAGACGAAACCTACTCCAACTGTCTGTTGAGGTTCGATGCACTAGTCTTGAAGATCGCCGAAACAATTTTTGTAATGTCTGCTAACAAGACCAATTCAAAGCTTCTCAAACGACCTGAATGTCTGTTTTACCGGATGGGTGATCTCTAAGCATCAAGATAATGCATCCAAAACATTGGGAAATCGCAGAACGCAAATGTCATACGAAGCTGCATAATTTTCACGAGGCGCAAGCTGAATATCAAGCAGGCGAGAAAGAAAGACAGAGAGAGAGATAGAGAGAGAGGAGACGCGCAAGCAGTGGAAGAAAGACGGTACGAAGAACTACTTCAAGCCCAGACCCTCCTCCGTGTCACTTTGCACATGCTCAACCCGCTCTGGGTCCATCAGCACCTGTGAAAGCAGGATCTGCTCTCACAGACTCACAGCCCGACTCATAATCGGAGCTAAGACCAAGACAATCTCTACGTGTTGGACATCGAAGAAACCGCTTGGAAAGTAACGCTTGGTCCGGTGACCCTCCTCCAAGAAATAGCCTCGCAGAGTCCCACGGCAGTTCTCCGTCAGTGGACTCTCAAAGCAATCGGCCTAGTGGGTCCTTCACTTTCAGCTTCCGTAGCAGCTTGCGACCGGTATCCTGCTGCTGCAACAGCACGAAAGCTCTTTAACGGCTGCTTCGGCTGAGCGCTGCGCTTTGTCAAGCTTGAGTGGGTCCTACAAGTCCATGAAACAAAGCCCATCATGTGGCACGAGAACGGCGCAAAAGCCGGCAAAGCCTCTGCTACATCAAGATACCATTACAGCTGTCGATCTTGATGAGGCATGCTCGCTCGATGCACGCGTACTGCGAGAATGCAGTCGTTCGCGCAGCTTCTGTAGACTTCAAGAGATGCCTCAAGAGCTTGTTGGCCGACGAAAAGATTGCGCTGATTAGGCTAGGCTAGAGTTGGAGCCTCAGCACGTGTGCTGACGCGCAGTGCTGCCCATCAATGCTTCCGACAAATCAGTTTCGAAGCGCCTTACAGATGCTTCATACTTTGCAGCCTTGAACCCCCGGCCAGATTCTACAGCTCGCACTTGCTCAACAAAGTCGAAAGAGCGAGGTGAACACATATACCCCGATACCAGACCAAGCCAGAGCCAGATGACACATTGGCTTCGGTTCAGCCAGGTCTTGGTGGAGTCTTGGAGCAGGCTAAACATTGCAAGAGCAAGTTGCTGCTCCACTTCACAGAAAACACAAAAGTCTACGCACAGAAAACATCGTAATCTCGAAGCCGCCCGATCTGCACAAGTGTCAGCTTGAGGTCGACTTCTTCGGGTTATGATGGCTCGCTTCGTCCGGAGTTACGGCGCTATGTCACACTAGTAAGACAGGTTACGAGAGAGACTTCCTCAGGAATGCCGCAAATTCCTAGTGGTGGCCCGGCGATAGTCAGCATGCTTCGAAAGTGATCCGCATGTGACAAAACCGTCGTTCCTGAAGGACGCCAGTATACTTTTCAGAAGATTGTCACATCGCCATGATTGCAAATCTTGAACAGAGCAGCCGATCACGACAGAGAGGAATGAGAAAGAGAGAGCACACAAACAAAAACAGCGTGATGAACTTCTCAAGGCTGTGAGAAAAACTCGTCGATGTCAACAAGCTAGATTCTACTGCTGTGAGTGGAGTGAACTGCAGAGCAGGAGCTCTTCGGCAAAACGACAATCTACGCTTTCAAAGGATGGAGAATTGGCCTCTTGTCCAAACATCACTCGGAGCTAGCCAAGAAGTACACGTCGTGAGTAAGCCGTAAGCAGGACGTGATAGCCTCCCATCACAAGCCGAAGCCGAGTACAAGGAGTGGATATCTGATGCGCATCGAGCGTCTAGCACAAACAGGGCAAGAAACGCATCGGCCAAAGTCTAGGGCCGCAACCAAATGGGCACAGGCTTATCTAACGCCGTGGCAAAGGCAAGGGCAAAGCTTCGAAGCGACCACCCTCCAAATCAGAGCGGCCCGCGGGTTGACATCGCCAAGGCTAACGACGACAACCTCGGGGAACGGAATCATCGCGAGGTCTTGGGTGACTGAAGCAGCGTTCCTTGCCCAAGTGCGACAAGTACATGTCCCAGACGGAGGACATGTAGATGCACAAAGCCATGTTCGGAGCACCATTTCTGACAAGGATGGTACATTCATCACGCTCATGTACAGTTCCAGCGAACCAGTAGCTTCACATCTCGCTCCAATTCACACCAACAGCAAAAAACATCGACCCCTCCACCTCCAAATAGTAAAAAATTACCGACAGCAAAAAAAAAGTCACTGTGGGCGCTGGTGAGGCCCGGACGGGCCGTTCACTCACGTGCTGGTTTGCTGCGGCTTCAGCCGCATAGCACAAACAGATATTGGACCCTGCCTGCACGTTTGACTTTTGACAGTGCGAACCGTTACACTCGCGTGGACAGGCTAAGCTCTGGAACATTGACAAAGGTTTGCCCACAAGTCTTCCGCCAAACGTGGCTTTGGCAAATGTGTATTTCGCTGAGCTTGACGACCTCGTAGGTCGGCACTGCTCATGCCCAACATTCTGGAAACGTCACATAAATGACTCCATTGGAATGCTGACACATGCAGGATGCCCTGCACAATTCACGGCACGTTGAAAAAAACATGTGTTAAAAGGACCGTAGGAATATGTGCAGCACTGACACTGTAGACCTGGAGCGTCTGTACTGGCAAACTGGAAAGAAGTGCCCCTGATGCAGCGAGGCCTCCCAAAAACTGACTGGACAACGGCGATCAAAGGCAACCAGCGCCAGATGGGGGGCTTCAGGCTGTCACATAGGGATTTTCGCCACAGCTGGCTTTAGCATAACAAAGCACAGTTTGGAGGAGGACAGGAGCTGAGTGTTTGCCCATCTTCATGCTGCATGCTCGACTCGATGCACCCTTGCTTTGAGAATGCCCTCACGGGTGCAGCCTTTCTGGGAGTTCAAGAGATGCCTGAAGAGCCACCAGTTCGTAAAACGCGTCATCAAAAGCCTCTTGAACAAAGAGCGCGCTGCCTAATTTGCGCGGTTCTAGGCTAGAGTTGCAGACGATCCCACGTGTACGAAAACCTGAATTTTGACCACACTGTGTCTGTCGATGACACTGTTTAGCAGTCGACTTGCAACAGCCTCCAGTAACAGAGGGTGCGAGGAGATGGGCAGTCAAGTGCAGTCACATGACCGGCTGCGGGTCCCAAGCGCTGCGGCGCTGAAAGACCTGGCAGCATTGTGGACAACCTACGCATCACTGTTTGGCTGCAGACACGAAAGCCTCCCGAAGCCCACGTGAAACGCCGCAGGCGGCAGTTACCTGTCACAGATGTGATGCAGGCAGCTTATTGGCCTAAAGCAACGAAGTGTGAGTGCTTGCACCTTGGTTTGAACCTCTACGAAGCTGAATACAAGTGCTGCCAAGTCCATGTTCAGCGGGCCAAAAGCCTTGTGACCATCTTCTGCACCGATTCGCAAAGGGAACAAAGAGCACTAAGCAATCAGCGCAGCTCGGAGAGAAGATGACGCCGCTTTGCTTAAACAGAAGGCGCCTGCAATGGCAAAAATCTCCCTGCCGGCACAAACAGCCACGCTGGACTTCTGAACCTCCGGGCTGGTCGCCAAGATGAAGACGAGGAATACTCTGCATCTTCCATCTCCATCAGGGGACCAGCAACCTCACAGACCGCGAGAGCCAACACAACTCTACACCAGCACAGCTTGACGGCTGCGAGCCGCAAGGATAGGGCCATGTCGCAAGGTCTGAAGTGCTCGTCCTGAGCCCGGGAGCCCGGAACGATTCTGAAATTTGCTTGCTCGCAGCAAGCGGCTCTCCCACTCCTTGCAGGTCCCCGTATCAGCCAGGCGCATTTCGTTGAGGGCCTGAGGGCGGGCAACAGAGACCGAGACAATTTTTTTTGCAAGCGCAGGGTCCGTGAAGGTCCCGTCTGCACCGACCGCTTCAGGTGCGCTTGTGGGGTTTACGGCTTGGTTTGTGAACAACAGATACCCAAAAAGCTATATCTGGCAACACTCGAGACTTGGCGATATAAAGGAGTATTATCCAGCCATACCATTGAGTGAGGAGTGCTCCTGTCGAATGTCGGCTGCTGTCGGAATAGCGAAAAAGCTATGTTCTATGAAGGAGTGTGGTGGGGCTGCATCTGACTGTAATTATGCGATACGACGGGAAGCTTCAACCAAACAGGATTCGGCCCAATGTGTCTTGGGTCTACCTACCCTATTGAGGCCTCTTGTGTGGCGATAAGCAGCTGAGGGCATGAAGGTAGACTGAAATTCAAGTGAGTCTGGATGCCGATATAAATGTCCAAGTAGGTTCAGGCGATTTTGCGAATACTGCTGGGAAGGAGTAATGACACGTCTGGAAGAGAATGCCAATTCGGCTAGATACTGGTTAGAGCAAGGAGCAGTAGATGGGTTAATAACCCTGTGGTAGTAAGAGGATTTGATTTTAAAGATTCTTCGAAGGCACTTGTAGTGAATCGAATCGAGCTTGGTGAGCTGCTGGGGGGTAAGCAGGAGACTGTCCATCGCGTACATCAGAATGGATTGGACAACCGAGCGATATACCAAAAGCCTCCAATTGGGAGGGAGGTGCCCATGCTTCATAAGTGGGGCAAGTTTCTTGGAGGCCTCCATCGCTCTAGAGATGCGAGTCGATATATTTTTGTGGTTGGTGGATCTAGGATCCAGATGTACTCCAAGGTACTTTACTGCATCGGAGAGCGGCACTTGTAGGTCTTCAACCGGAGAAAGGAGATAATTCGGGTCGAAAAGTGAGAAGGAATTCGATAAGAGGACTGAGGTGTGGGGCTGTCCGATGCAGGGAAAAAACCACTTGTGGGAGAAAAGCCCTGCATCCCGGCAACAAAGCGGTAGAGTACAGGAGGCCACGGGAGCAAGACCGGCCAGTTCGGTCCAGCACCCCGCCTCTACTACGCCGGGTTCTCCCGCGCGCAGCTTTACAGTGGCCAGCTCTACAGCGTCTGAGAACCGCGAGCGGACGACGAAGCGGCGCTCGTCCACCCCTCCGCTCTCCCTACCGGGTCCTCCCGAACGCAGCGCTCCCTTATGCTCCCTTTTCGCACAGTGCTGTTGAATCAGGGCCGCGAATCGAGAATGATGCCCTGCTCATTCACGACTCCGCTCCCTCTACACTGGGTGCTCCCAAGTGCAGCGTGGGCCGCCACCTCACCGACCCTCAGAGGCCGCCAGCCACCTCCTCAAGGCCGCTTTGGCTCGATGGGAGCGTACAGCCACGCAGAGCTCTTGGAGCAAGAGGGAGTGAACCGGGCCGGGCTCCTCACCAGCACGGGCCGCCACAGCCCGCGCCACGTGCTTGATCACGGCTGCAGCGCCCGAGTCCCAGGTGCCAGTTGCTTCAGCCACCATCGGGACAAAAGCGACCCCCTGCAGCACAGGTCAGCGCAGTCTGTTGGTGATTTTGCTTGTGTGCCGGGTATAAGCGGCAGCAGCCGCCCCAACCTGCTGGCCAGCCAAGGCCAAGGTCTCCTGCCGCTGAGGCGCCGTAATGGCGAAATCAAGTGCGGTGGGAGACCCTGACAAAGATGGCACGTAGATGTCAGCTGGCCGCCTGGCGGACGAATGAGTGTCTTCTGGAGATTGCGGAAGCAGTAAGCCAGGACGCTCCTTCTCGGGATGGAGGCCTGCCCTGTCCAGCCAAGCGAAGAGCACGTCTCTCACAGCATTGTGGCGCAGGGTACGCTCTCCTCCAGCGACACAGGTTGCTGCATGGTGGCTATGGCGGTCCAGCACACCATCACAGAGTGGGCACCAACAGTCGTGGACCGCATCAGAAACTCCCAGCCGGAAGCGCAGCTCAGCCGAGAAAACCGCTGGTTCAAGTCGGGTACGCCCGAGGCCCGTCTCGGAGTTGAGCACAGCTTTATCCACAAGGCTAGCTTGCGCCAGTTGCTCTTGCCAACCGCTCAGAAAGGTCATGCTGCTTGGCCGCCGAGGCTGCATCAAGGGACACGCTTTTGTCGGCAGGAAGGTCCCTGCAAATAGCCTGGAGAGCTCCCGTCACAGAAGGCGAAGCCCGAACAGTAGCAGCTGAGAAGGCGCGGTCGATGTCGGCACAAGCAGCCAGGCTCGCCCCCAGCGACGCCAAGTAAGCAGCCGGCGCGTGGGTGAGGCCGGAGCGCAACCCAAGCCCTGCTTGGGCAACACCTCGTGCAGCCTGGCGCCATTGGTTCGCATTCAAGTGGACGCCAGTGAGGTCACCGAAGCATCGTTGCACTCACCAGGGCCGCGGCCTGTGCGCAGGGCGGATTGCATCGCATGCTGTGCACCATACGACAGAAGCCTGCGCAGGAGCGAAGAAGACGGAGGCCCACCTGCGGGTCTTCCAGCTCAGCCACCGCCTCAAGTAGTTCACCGGCCTGGGCCGCGCGCTTGGCAGTGTGCTCACCGATGTAAGCGTCGTCTCCAATGGCTGCGCCCAAGAACTCAAAGTTGTTGGTGAGAACCCGGCTGCTTCCGTCAGGTCGCTGCAGCAGGGCAGCCGGGAAGTGCGGCTGCAGGAGCGGAGCGCTGGGGTTGCTCAGCACCACCAACTCGCACTTGCCAAGGTTGAGCTCGAGGCCGATGTCAGCAGCACGTTGTTGGGCTAGCTGGAGCGCAGCTCCCAGGGCAGCAATATCACCAGCAAGTACGCCATCGTCCAGAAAATGCACTGCCAGGTCGACAGATCCGGCTCGGAGTTCAGTCGCCAGCGGTTGCAAGGCCAGAGAGAACAACAGAGGAGGGCCCAAAGGATCGCCTTGTTGGACTCCAGCTGACGACTCGACTCGAGGGTGCGATCACCGAACTGCAGACGACTGGGCTGGCGGTAGCACCACGTAGCCCAGCGAGCCAACGCCGGGAAGTGAGCAGTAGCCTGCCGCAGCACTTCTTCCCTGCTCACACAGTTGAAGGCATTTCGCAGGTAGGATGGCCTTGTGGGTTGAGCCCGCATGTCTGTGACTCCAAGCTCGCACGGCATGCACGGCTTTTTCCGCCCCTCCCTTTACAGCCACGCCGACCTGAGCAGGCCAAAAGAAAGCCCGCGCCTCGTCCTTGACAGTAGCCATTAAGCACTTCCCCGTGAGCCTGCGAAGCAGTTCGCCAACGGCAATGGGCCGGACTCCACCCGCAGGTTTAGGAAGAGCTACGAGGCTGGCGCCGGCCAACACCGGAGCAACGGCCGCAGGCGCTCGCCCTTGAGCGAGGATGTCCACAACCGCTGTAAGCTGGGCGAGGAAGTTGTCAGTGCCTCCAGCAGAACAGGGCAGTTTCTGCCGGGAAAGCCGGCAAGCACCGAGCAACAAGCTCCGGAGCCATGCAAGGAGCCAGCGGCAGGTCAGCGATGGCAGGCACAGCCGGCAGCAGGCGGTAAAAATGAGCGGCAAGAGCTTTAGCAGTTTCCTCCGTTTGCGGGCAAAGGCCCTTGGACAAGAGAGCAGCACAAGCTTTCCGGTCCAAGCCTTCGCGACCCCAGCTAGTAGCGATGTCCCTACGCTCCTCTGGCGTCGGCGGTCCGCAGTGCGGGGGGCTCGGCAGCGTGGGCGAGACTCCCACAGTGAGAGTCGCTCCCCTTCTTGCCACCGTTGAACAATCTGTCAAGTGTGAAAGCGGCCGCAGCTTTGTGGTGCCGTCGGCCTCCCCGCCCAGGTGCACAAAGGATGCACTGCGGCAGCATCAGAAGCTCCAACCACGCTTCCACACTGATTCTAGCAAGCAACAACTGGAGAGAAACAAAGAAAACGATCAGCCATGGCCCTGCGAAACTTTCTCCCATAAGTTGTGATGCACCACAGCAGCCAGGTTCCGAGTGAGCACCTGGTTCCACCCGTGCCGCGCAGCCAAGGGCACATGCCGGAGAGTGCGAGTGCGGGCTGCCTGGATGGCCTCAAAAGAGGGCAATGCCAAGCCATCAACGTCCATATTGTCAGTTTCCACGGCAGCCGCCCGAGCTTCGGGCCGGCAAGTTGGGTGCACCCCATGTCGTTCCTCAGGCCACAGACCGGGCAACGGATACGCCCGCGAGCCTGCATCCAACCAGCAGGCACGTCCCCTTCCAGAGTGCCCGCGAGGTGGGCATCAATCAATGTGGGAGCGCACGCAAGCTTCGTTGGCCCACCCGCGGGCGCGAGCAGGGTCAGAGCATCGGCAGGCGGGGACAGGGCAATAAACACGCCCTGCCCGTCCAGCCCCCCCGCTGCAGCAGGAGCTCACGGAAGCGTAGAGCCCAGGCGTAAAACGCCAGAGATAGTGCTGTGCTCTGCCGTATATTGGCGCTCAACGTCTTCGAAAAGATGAGTGAGCACGAAGCCGAATAAATTTGGGGAGAGGGGGCACCCTTGACGGAGACCAATTGTTTGCGTACTTTCTCCGGAGCGCTGGTTACTGTCACGAACCGTAAAGGTGGGGTTATTGTAAAGGAGGAAATGGCTCTCCGAAAGGGGGCTGGCACACCCATATACTGAAGAGAAGCCTGGATAGCGGAGAAAGTGACCGAATCAAAGGCCTTGGCCCAATCGAGAAAGATGGCGTGAAAAGGTTCGGTTTGGCGTTCACGGTGTACTTCCTTAGGCGCCCGTGACCGCGGCGAATGCATTTCGCGCCGGTTCACCGCAAGCCGTGCTCGCTGTCATTACAGAGGGTCAGACAGATCACTTCAAGCACGTCTGCGCAGCTTATGCTAACTTAGGTAGAGCTGGCATGATCCAATGATGTTTTAGATCCGTTTCCTGATCCCAAATCAAACTCCATGGTTGCACCCGACGGCCGGCTTCGAGATCACTGCCTATTCCCGGATGTGTAAACGATCGTCCCGCAGCAGGGGGCTCGCTAGACGGTGG